GATTTACTGAATTTGCCTTTGCCAACGGTGTGTTTTGTACAATGTCACTATATTGGAACAGTTCCTGTTTAGTAGTTAAATAATTTTTTTCAATCAGTCAAGTTTTCCAATAAAGTTAGGCTATTCCAAGATAGAATGTTGTTTATCTTTCAACGGTGGAATAGAAATAAAGTGTGTTTTGATTCAAGCTTGGCAGTTTGACCAATCGAATTGCAACACCTAAAACTTGCTTTTAAAACTAAAGGGACAAGTTGGTGTCAGGCAATTTTCTTAATATATTTACAGAAAGGTAGGTTTGTTTGATAACATCCTCAGTTTTGGCAATAAACATTCCAACAGGACTGAACAATGACGTTTACATGTTAGAGAACCAGACATAAACACATTAATTGTTATTATCTTGGAAAGGTGTCATTTACGAATGATAGTCATCAGAGCATCAGCTGTCAGTTGAACCGATGATACAGGCATAGAACCCGACAAAACTGTGAACAGCATATTTCCTGGGAGAGTGAGACCTCAGTAACAAAGTGGGAGCTGGCGAGTCAGGAACGTAATAACAGGCACACTCCGCTCTGTTCGCTGACATTTCACCCCTCGGTGAATCCAGTGCCAGGAATGACGGATATCAGACAGACCGACAGAATATTATCATTGTGCACACTGCACTTGCACATCCTAAATATCGACCAGCTCCCAACTTATCTCAGATCATCTGCTCCTCTGCCATCTTCAGTATTTTATTCGGGGCAGTGTTAAGCGCCGTGCTTTTATCTGAGCTGTCTTAACTCTTGAACTATCTCTCCAAATGGTTCCAATTACTCAGATCATTCTCCAGTTTTAGATGCTCCTTGACATCTGCCTCAATGAATGAGGTAGGCTGGCAACTGAGATAATATCACCTTCAGTGGCACAAGCTTTGCTGTATTCAAAAAGAGCTGCGAATATTGGAGATTGGAAAGATAAGACACAAATTGCTGGAGAACCACAGCTGGTCCGGCAGCGGCTGTCGGGACAAAGCAGAGTGAACTTTTAGAGTCCAGTTATTGTTCTTCAGAACTGAAGAGATCTGATGCCAATGCTGCCAGCCTTGCTGAGCTTCGCCAGCAATTTCTATTTTTAATTCAACTTGATCATGATGACGGTCTTGTTGAGTGCATTTCGGAATGACGAGTAACTCCATAGCTGAGTGGTGATGGTACAGCTGTGAGCATCGCTGTTTCTCAAGCAGTTGAACTGGGTTTGATTCCCAGCCATCGCTGTGTTGCACTTTTTAAGTGACTTCCAATGGGAAAATTCAAGTGGAAATGAATGAGTGTCATTCTCAGAAGTTTTCTGAATAACAAGACTGGGGACAGGCTGCGAGAACATTTCCAGCGCTGGGAAAAATCAGTGTGATCCAATGCATGGTCAACTGAGACTTAGTAAGAACTGTTGATGCTGGATTCAGAGATAGCACAATGTCAAACCGGAGGAAGACCAGGAAAGCTGACATTTTGGGTCGGGACCCTTTTCCAGAAATGGGGGAGGCGGAAGTGAGCTCTGAAATAAATAGAGAGAGGAGGGGTGTGGCTGGGGAAAGTAGGTGGGATGATGATATGCAGGTAGGCAGCGGTGGGGATTGGTCAGTGAGATGGGAGGAGCTGATAGGTGAGAGAGAAGATGAACAGGTTGTGGCTGGTGCAACTGCTCCCGATCAATGATCCCAATTGCTCTCAACCGCATCTCTTGCATTTCCCGCACCTCTGTCCTCACATCCCCTCCCCGCAACAAAAACAAAGACAGAATCCCCCTTGTCCTCACGTCTGACCTCGCAAACCTTCGGATTCAACGCATCATTCTCCGTCACTTCCACCACCTGTATCTGACACCACTGCCAAGGATACATTTCCCTCCCCATCCCTATCTGCCTGCTGTAGGGACTACAATCCGCGATTCCCTCATCCACTCCATACTCCCCATTCGCCCCACCACCCCCGGTAGTTTTTCCTGTAACCGCAGGAAGAACTGCACCTACCCCTACACCTCCCCCCTTACCTCCATCCCAGGCCGCAAAAAACCTTCCACATCAGACAGATGTTCATCTGCACATCCGCTATAGTGGTCTATTTTATCCGCTGTTCCTGATGTGGCCTCCTCTTCATCAGTGAGACCAAGCGGAGGCTCAGAGATTGCTTTGTAGAGCACCTGCACTCGGTTCACAACAAACGATAACACCTTCCAGTCGCGAACCACTTCAACTCACCCTCCCACTCCCTGGGCGACATGTCCATCCTGGGCATCCTCCAGTGTCACAATGATGCCATTGGAAACTGAAGGAGCAGCACCTCATATTCCACCTTGGGAGCCTACAGCCCAATGGTCTCAATGTGGACTTTACTAGTTTCAAAATCTCACCATCCCCGACGTCATCCCACCACCAACCCTCCCTCTCATCTCCACCTCTTTGACCTGTCCATCTTCTCTTCCACCTATCCGCTCTCCCACCTCACAGACCAATCCCCACCACTGCCTAGCTGCACTCACCTATCAACACCTCACCTATCTTCCCCAGCCCCACCCCTCCTCTCTTATTTCAGAGCTCCCTTCCTCTCCTCCATTTCTGACGAAAGTTCCCAACCCGAAATATCAGCTTTCCTGCTCCTCTGATGCTGCCTGGCTTGCTGTGTTCCTCCAGCTCCACACTGTGTTATCCCTAACCCTAGCTCGTTTGACAATTCTGAAAGCTTTGTCTTTCTCACTTTCCGGATTTTGATGAAAGGTAAGTGAAGTGTGCAGGATGTGTTTTCCATCAGACGGGACTGTTGGATAGGAGTGTGCAGTGGGAGGCCTCATTCCTACATTGTTGTAAACCATCATCAGCTCGAGCTTTCTGATCATTGTTGGTAGACCGCAAGGAAAGGTGGAGGGAGCTAACTGTGTGTTGTTTAAAACACATTAATATCGAACTGAAATGTCCAGGCCATTTTCGTTAGAAACCATTCAGCAATAAATCAATACTTGTCATCAGTGTTTAAATTCAAAGGGAATTAGGTATGTTATTGATGGACAAACGGGAAATGTCCTGCTTCACATCTGTACTCGAAACATAAATACCAGGCAACAACTTTCTGATTGTGTAGGTCATCTTCCTGGACAATTATTCTCCAATTATTCATGTTTAATTCAATATGTCTGTGGGATCAGTAACTGAGTCCAAAAAAACAATAAAGATTTTGCCAAACACTTTTAGTAGCAATGCCATCAAATTGTGGCATCATCATTTCAAACATGGAAGCAGAGAGAGAAGGTGTGGGGTAATAAAGATAGAGAAATAGAGAGAAGGGGAGAGAGAGAGAGAGAGTCAGAGACAGAGAACGAGAGACAGAGTCAATGAAGGCGGGACAGAGAGAGAGAGAATGAGAGGAAGAATTAGATAGAGAGAGATGGAGATTGAGAACAAATGTGAGAAAGACAGAAAGAATGAGAGATAGAGATGAATACAGAGATAGACAGTGAAAGAATGAAATAGGAGACACAGAGTAAGAAGGCAGAGATATGGAGCTAGGAGCAGGTGCAGACAGAGAGAGATAGATAGAG